CATGTAGTTTGTTTCTTTTATTGTGCTTTCTACTGCTTGCCCTGTACTGCACATTTTATATTGTATAGCCTTAAGCATGCCTCCTTTCCATATAGGATGTTTAGAGGACTATCACCATTAGGTCGCTTGATTTGACATCATAATTGGACACCCTAGAAAACTTAAACTCATCACGACAAGGAGCTTGGAGTTAGCGCGGTGGGCAATACGGCCATCTTCAACAGGAGAACATGTCTCCCCCAGCTAAATCATTCCTTTCCTAGAATTTAAAACAACAATCCATAGGATTTCGAGGTTGTTCGCCTAACGCAACATAAATCCTCAACCTTTTCGTTAGGTATTCGTATGACTCCGCTGTATGATCTAAACCCTAACTCGTTTTAGGATTCTGAGGTTGTCGTTCGTTACGACCCAAATCCTCACATCTTCCAGGCTATTTGTGCGATCGTTTCACACGAATGTAAGCCCCAATTAAATAAAATTGGCAGAAAGAAATATTTGAATATTTCTCCCCGAAACTGAAGCCAAATCATAGGGTAGACTGGGAAGCCACCGAGGATCTCCTCTGGATCTGTGGCATCCCCTAGTCCTTGTTCCTTTGTCCGATTTCGTTGAAAAGTCCTATCGTTTTGAAGTGCTTGAAGATAATTTTTCCTGATTTTTATCGCGAGTATTCTTAAGTGATTTCGGTCATTTAAGATGTAATTAACTATAAGAGCTTGCCCTTATAGGAAGCTTTTCCGAACCCAGCTTAAAATAAATCCTATTTAATTTTTCATATTAAATAGGGGAATTTGTCGGCAAATAAAACAGTTTCGCAGACCAAACGGACGTCATATATATCTTAGTTTATCTGATCGAGTCTCATCCTCAAGTCTTGTGTTTATCCCTCGGGATAGATACATGATTTGAGGTAAAACGCTCTTTCATTTAAACTATGAAAAATATGGGGTCAGTTTGATTTTCATATTTGATTTTCTAAACTTAAACCTATACGTCCTTCCGAGGCGGACGACGGGATTTCAATTCTGGTGACCGACAGCTTCTTACGGGCAACTCTCCCAAACAAACAAACAAACCAACCCCATCACACCTTTTCCCCGCCGACAATGACCACTCAAATCGATGCCATTTTGTTCATATTTTTGTGTGCCAATATCTAGATGTGTCGTACGAGAAAGAATCCAAGCACTTAAATTGGGTTATCCTATATGTCATTTACATGTCCCATTCTAAGTTCACAACAATCTTTGAGTTGATGGGGAAATTCTTCTCAAATTCATTGGCGAGACACTAGAGTCCATGTTAGTCCATTTTGTTTCTTTTCTTGACTTTTAGCACATTTTTGGGTGTCAATTTTTTCTATTTTTTGTACTTATCGCCTATTCTTTTTAGCTTTAAGCATTTTGTTTGTCCCAAAATTAGTTTTATTATTTTCTGTGGAATTTAAGTGAATCTCAATAATTCTGTCGCGTCTCCCTATATACACTTTAAAAGGGGCATGCATGGATAGAGCAAATTACAGCACAGGTTGCTTTTGTTGTATTAAGAAATTTAAACTTAGGCGGTACATGAGCGCTAAATAAGCTTTTTTGAGTCCACCACACCTAGGAAAACATTAATGGTATTCCAGAATTTCTTATATATAACTGCAACAAAATAACATTATTGTTTCCTTATCATATCAAGAAAATTGCACATGGGAATGCAAAGAGGTAGGGATGCAAATAATTGACGGGATCTAAAACTGATTAAAAAAATTTGGGTTCTAGTTGACTCGATTTTTATTTGGTCAATATTATAGACCCGATTATTATGTGTTTGGTTCAGGCAGACTTAGATAACTTGAAATCAACCTAAAATTGACATATTACTATTCAGGTTCTTGTGATTCAGGTCAATTGGTGTGTTAATCCAAAAAAAATGCATGATTCTTTTTAATAAACGGCTTATACTGATCTGGCTTGGGCCAAATATTTTGATTTGTATGATAAACATGTCGGGTTCCAGTCAAGCATATTTGGGATTGGCCATGTTTCTGTCGGACGTATGAGACTTATCAAGCCATATTGACACTCCACTACAATGAAGTAAGCTTGCTACTTACACCATAAATGGGTTGGGAGCGCAATTTTGAGAGAGAAAGAGAGTATGCCTGTGTGTTTGTGTGTGTGTGTGTGAGAGAGAGAGAGAGAGAGAGAGAGATGATGATGATGACAGGAAGTGGTAAGTGATTGGAGATATGGTGATGCATGAGTGGGAAAAGAAAAAGAGGTGCAGATCTTGTAAGGTTTTTATGAACGAGATATCTAATTTTTTATTTGCAGCGGTTGGCTCTCTAAGCCACCATTTCATGAGCGTCTTAGGCTACTTCAGATCAGTTTTCAAAGTGTTCCCTAATCAAATTATTTTTTAACAAATTATTTAAACGAACATTTTTTTTTTCTTAAATTTTTTTTCTCTCACGTGAGTTAAATATTTAGTTTTCTCCCTATGCGGGGCACCTTCCCAGAACACTTGGGAACAATTAGTTTGGCAAAACAAGCGGCATTTATGCACTCTTTTCTTGAAAATAAAATCCTTTTGAGTCAGTTCTTCATGAAACTGCACCCATTTTCTGCCTTTTCTATTGCATTTAACCAAGTCAGTTTGTAGAGTACATATTATGAATTATAACGGCCATTTTCTACTCTCAGAGCATTCTTAAATACTGGTCGTTGTTTAAATAATCTTGGTCATGACCCTGCTGTCTTACTGTTAGCTTGCAGTGTTTCCATGCAGATTTGAATTTTGTTGAAAATGTTAGCATCACTATGAAAGGCTTTAAATGCATGATCTGTTGGATTTGAATTATCTTGTAGATTTAGTTGAATTTCCTCTATTTCAAACCCTAGTATGTTTGTCTAGTCAGTTGAACTTCTAATGCATGATATGCATGCTAATATTTTTAAGTAGGGATGTCAATAAATGACTTAACCCAACCTAGCAGTTTTACCCGATCCTGACCCAAAAAAATTAGTCATATAAATGTGTCATATTTATAAACTTCATGTTTGGAGTGCATGTTCCTTGCTTAACCTAGACTCTCATTTATCAGGAAACTGGAGTCATCTTTACACATCACCAGAAAACTGTGATTGTTGATGCTGATGCTGGTCACAACAAGAGAAAAATCATTGCTTTCGTTGGCGGGCTTGATCTATGTGGTGGCAGATATGACAATCCCAAGCATCCTTTGTTCCGCACTTTACAAACATTGCATAAGGATGACTATCATAATCCTAACTTCACGGTGATTCTTTTTGCCATTACTTCTGCAGTCAGAATCATTCACTATTTTGTTTCATGTTAAGATGCTGAATTTTGCTTATAATGCCTATTTTGTTTGTAATTTTGTTGTATATTTGATTCTCCTATTGGCACATGCTTCATATTTTGGTATTCAAGTTGAGAGTTTCTTTAATTTTTCGAAATTGGCTATTTAGGTTTCTTCTCGTCTATGTGGAATCCAGTTCATCAATCTGATTTTATGGTCTTTACTTTTACTCATGAGCTGTATACTAGGATTCATAACTTCTAAAATTTTGAGTACTTTAGCTTTGGAGTGTACCATTCTATCATCCCATCTTTCTATGCAAGATGGTATTTATCCCCTAACAACTATAATTCGTAGCATAATTTTTCTGTCTAATGTTATTAATATCTCGGGCATTTTAAATTTGAATAGGTTGATCACTGAATGCTTGCAATATCTCAGCAGAGAGAAATTGGATTGTTTCAGTAAATCGTTCTTTTGGGCAAGTTGTTTTGCATTATCTCCATCTATGTTACCTTTATCATTTGGGCAAGTTGTTTTGCATTACCTCCATCTATGTTACCCTTAATCTACGGTTGATGCATCTTCTTTGAATTCATGCATGCCTGAATAATCTAACAGCTAATTCTTTGTTGTCCTTTTTGCTGTAAATATATAGCCTCTTATATAGATGTTTTTTCCTTGACAATTTATGCCACATCCATTTTAACATGCGATAGTTCCATTCCTCCCAGATAAGTGATTTCTTTATTGCTCACACCCCTGGAGCCTTTTAGAATAACTCGATTAATGGCATATGTATTTAACTTTCTTTTAGGTGTTATTATATTCTCTTATTGTATAGTATTTTTTAGGCACTTTTGTCTTTTTACCTCAATTTTAGCTCTGAAGCTCATTCCTTTTCTATCCATGATATTTAAACCTGCTGACATGAATATTACCTTGAACTTCGAGCAATATTGCATGATGATTATATTCATAAGCCTACGTAAATGGAATACTTTTTTTTTCTTTCTTTCTGCTAGTATCTTTTATCCTTTTTCTGTTTGATCTATTGTCTGATACATGATGAAGTGGGCTAAATTAGTAAGAAGAACTTCAATCTTATTTCTGTCAAGCTATTCATATTTTAAATTTCTTGCAATT